AAAATGCCATATTTTTCCTCCCGGTATCCAGCGGCCCGGCGGCTCAGCAACTCAGCAGCTGAGCCGATTGTCTGCCAGGCCATTGTCAAAGCGCCCGTGACTGCGGCACCCGGCAGACAAACGTCTCAGCTGCCGGATTGCCGAGTCGCCGGGCCGCCGGATACTGGGAGAAAAATATGGCATTTTCTTACTTATTTTTTCAGGCTGTTTTCGCATTTTTTTTGCGACCAAAAAGTTCCAAATTTCTCTCGTGTCTTCAAAGTCAGCTTCATCTTCACTGTCAGCTTTGTTCTCACTATCAGCTTTGTCTTCACCATCAGCTCTGTCTGCATCACCTTCATTGTATTTGTCATTGATCACAGTGAAGTCTTTAGAGGCATACTTGTTAAACTCAAGCTTAAGCTCCTAGTATAAAATGAGAATACCCTACTCCCTTGCAAAGGCTCATGTGCTCACCAAGCCCCATGCAGTAGCAGCAGCAGCCTGCTCAGAGTCATCTTTATACTATTAAAACACATTGTCATCATTCTCAAACCCTGCAGCATTGGTCTTGGATGTTGCACATGAAGCAAAGTTGCCATCTTCACCCTCGTTCTCATTCTCATTCTCATTCTCCTCGTCCTCATCGTTCTTGTTCTCATCCTCCTCACTCTCGCCTCTGTTCCTGTTTTTGTTCTCACCTGCAGCTACCTCATCCTCACCTGCAACCTCGCCCTCATCTTCATCTCAAGTACCTTCTATTTGTGCGCAGTCAAAACTATCGTGCTGACGAGCCTTGCCTTTACTCTCTGTAGAATGTAGTTAGCTCTGCCAATCAGGTTGCAGAGACACTTACTTGTGTCAGTTCACTGTTATCAAGGTTGATCATCTTCAGACCCCGTGTCTTGATTGTTCTTGTTCTGCCTGTAGTCAGCCTTGTCCATACAACTATCTGCCTTTTTGTTTGAAACATGGCCATTACCATTGTAGGCGTTTACTAAAAAAGCAGACATTAGCATCACCAAAGTGTACACTGCAGCTACTAGATACTGAAGCGACTAAGTGTCCAAGAGATCTTGTAAGCATTTGATAATGGTTGAGACAAATGACTTGGCCCAGCAGTCGGCTGAGTTAACAAGCGACCAGCTTGTTGCAAAAACTGCCCAGCTTTGTTAGTCAGCAGGCTGAGCAAACAAGAGTGAACAGTCGAAGTGGATGGCTGATTGTGCAATGCTGCTGGGATGATTTTGAGAACTGCCTGAGTCTTTGAATCAGGCCGTATTGAGGTGCAAGTAGATCTGGCCTTTTTGACAAGGTCTATTGATGGCAGTACTAGGCACAACAATGAGGTAAATGATTAAATCAACTGTAAGGATGGCTTACACTTCTTTATGGGCCCTGTGGCTTTGCCCTTGTCAACAGCAGAGCCTTCAGAGGCCTTGCACTTCTCAGAACTTGTACAGACAGCAGTGATGGTGTGGCTGGTGTTTAAACACTGCTCTAGATGTACTAGTCATGGATGAAAACTTGCAGCCAGCTTCTATTGTTATGCTGTTGTACATTGATGATAGGTGAACTAGTCTGCTGAACTATGTAGATAAGCGTGTGAGAGCATTTATCTTTTGTAGCAGTTAATGTATTGCATACCATTAATGCTTCATTTACGTGCTGCCATTTTGCTTGCCATTACCATTTTGTATGGCCGTGTCTGTATGTAACCTTATTTGCACATGAGAATCATCTATCAGAGATATATCAGATTTCATAGGAATAAGATTGTGTGCACAACTCACTATGCTTGACCTAAAGAGAGGCTGTATGATTTTTGTGCTCATTTTGTGCAGCTGCGTCATTTGCAGATTCATAATGTGATGGACCGACCAATCAAGAAACCCTGAGCTTACCATGCTTTGATAGCATCTGCTACTTCTTGTGTGAAGATTGAGAGGATGCAATGGCTCGGCTTTTGTTGTCATGTTTAGCATCTGAAAGAGTACTGCATTAATGGCATATTCTGGCATCTGCCATCCGCACGTAGACAAAATGCACATGTGTGGGCTAGCTGTATATATCCGCATCTCATTTCTACTAAAGCTAAGA